ACTCTGCCTCAAAAAAAAAAAAAAAAAAAAAAAAGAAAATTCTTTGTATTCTTGCTACTTTACAAGTGTGAAAATATGTCAAAATAAAAATAAAAATGAATGAAAGTAGGGTGATACGAAATCACATCTTGAAAACTTTCCTCAGGTATTACAAAAAAAAGTCTATGACTTAGCTAGGTGTGGTGGTGTGCACCTGTAGTCCCAGCTACTTGGGAGGCTGAGGTGGTAAAATCAATTGAGCCTGGGAGATTGAGGCTGCAGTGAGCCATAATCATGCCACTGGCACGCTAGCCTGAGAAACAGAGCAAGACTGTTTTTAAAAAAAAAAAAAAAGTCTATGGTATAAGGGAATTCACAACTCCTGTCACTGAAATCAGAATGAACTTAACTTGAAGACTGGTTTCTGTGCCTCTTGATGAAGAACATAACATTATCTCTGAATATGCCCCCAAAACTTCATACCTGAATCGGGTTAAGCCTAGATCCAACTATGAGTTTGCAGGAAATACAGAGAACAGAGCAAAATCCAGACTACAAAAAATTCTGGAATAATAATCTGGAGTCTTCAAGGAATCAATTGCAAAGATTAAAAGATAATTTTTTTTTTTTTTTTAAGATAAAACTAAGCTATAGCATTTGGGGATGCACGTTTGGCTGATAAAACCACAAAGAAAATAAAAGGAATGATTACTGTAAAAGAAAGTAGAGGCCAGGCATGGTTGCTCATGCCTATAATCCCAGCACTTTGGGAGGCCAAAGCTGGGGAATCACCTGAGGTCGGGAGTTTGAGACCAGCCTGAACAACACTGAGAAACCCCGTCTCTACTAAAAGTACAAATAAATTAGCCAGGCATGGTGGTGCATGCCTGTAATCTCGGCTACTCGGGAGGCTGAGGCAGGAGAATCACTTGAACCCGGGAGGTGGAGGTTGTGCTGAGCTGAAATTAGGCCATTGCACTCCAGCCTGGGGAACAAGAGTGAAACTCTGTCCCCACCCCCCAAAAAAAGTCGAAAATAGTTATTCTTTCTTGGGAGGAACTGGGGATTGTGTTTGGGAGGTGTCCCTAAAGGATTTCGAAGTGCTTCAGGCCAGGCATGGTGGCTCATGCCTGTAATCCCAGCACTTTGGGAGGCAGAGGCAGAAGGGTCACTTGAGGTCAGGAGTTTGAGACCATCCTGGCCAACATGGTAAAACCCCATCTCTACTAAAAATACAAAAATTAGCCGGGTGTGGTGGTGCACGCCTGTAGTTGCAGCTACTCGGGGAGGCTGAGGCAGGAGAATCGATAGAACCCTGGAGGTGGAGGTTGCAGTGAGCAGAGATTGCGCTGCTACACTTCAGCCTGGACAACAGAGTAAGACTCATCTGAAAAAAAACACAAAAAGAGAGAAAGGTCTGTTAGCAGCACATAAAGCCGTATGTCAGTAGAGATTAAACTTCCCCACAATTGATGGCTTTATGCCCCAAATCATATTCTGCTTATTGGTCTTCACTAGTCCTTAGAATGTTGCATGATAATTTATCAGCTTTCTTACCTGTATATCCAGAAGCCAAATGGTTTCAATGTTTTTTTTTTTTTTTTTTTTTCTGGGGATGAGGGGAGTCACAGACTTGAGTATACAATGAAAACGATGGATGTTTTCCCCAGAAAAATGCCCTCATTCCCACACAAAATTGTGAGTAGTTTCAGGAGTTTCACAGACCTCCATCTGCACCCCAGAGTAAAAACCTCTGCCCAAGACAGTGTTTTCTTTTAGGGCAGAGACATTGTCTTTTTTTTAATTTTTATTTTTTTGGAGATGGAGTCTCGCTCTTGTCACCCAGGCTGGAGTGCAGTAGCACAATCTCAGTTCACTGCAACCTCTTCCTCCCAGGTTCAAGTGATTCTGCTGCCTTAGCCTCCCGAGTACCTGGGATTACAGGCACACACCACCATGCCTGGCTAATTTTTGTATTTTTAGTAGAGATGGGTTCACCTTGTTGGCCAGGCTGGTCTTGAACTCCTGACCTCAGGTGATGGTCAAGAATTCAAGAAAATGTGTTCTCCAGTGAGGTATTCTGAAAAAAAAAGAAAAAAAAAAAAAAAGAAATTCAAGACAATGGAAGAGCAGCAGCTGATGTATTAATATTATTATTACCCATTACGCCTCAGCCTCCCAAAGTGCTGAGATTACAGGCGTGTGTCACCACACCCAGCCTCTTATTCTTTTACATACTATTGCCAGCACAGCTGTCCAAGATGGTAGTCTCTAAATGTTTAGATAAATATAATAAATAATCCAGTTATTTCCACTTTTTCATGTTGGGTTTTCAAAGTCTACTTTTCAAACAGTATAAAGTTAACTTTTCTCTCTCTAGTCTTTGTTTTGTGGAATCTATTATACTTTGTAATGCAATCCAGAGAAACTTGGAGGCCACTTTAAAATTTACTAGTTTCAATGATACCCATGCTGAGGTGCTCAAAGGTGAAATGTACTAACACATATATCAATGGATGGATATATGGATGCATATATGATAAAGCAAATATAGGGAAAATTAACTGTAGAATATAGGCAGTGGGTACACAGTTGTTCACTGTACAATTGTTTCAACTTTTCTACGTGTTTGAAAAATGTCTTAACATGTAGGAAAAGTGACTTGTTTTATTCAAGCAGGGGTACATTCAATCTTCAGTTTTAGATATAAATCTATCATTCCTTCTGTTTGCAGAGCGCTTTAGAAGTCAGAATAATTCCCACAGTACACTTCAAATCATCACACAAGGTTTTGATAGCAAATAATTTTATTAACACAACCAGGCAATTGACTGAAAACAATTTAGATAGATAACTCAAAACATGGAGTTACTGCGCTGAAAATGTGACCCTGTTACACAGATTTCGGGAGGAAGAGTATAAAACAGGAGAGAAAAGGAGTCAGATTTGTGGTTGCAGCCTCACTGTAGAGGTGAAGTGTTCCATTGATTGCAACCATGGTAGGCTATTTCAGTTTCCTTCATTAAGGTCTGAGGAATCTACTAAGCCCTCCCCATTCGTTAGAAACACAATGCAGTAAAATAGCAGGAGTGGCCAGGCATGCTAGCTCACCCCTGTAATCCCAGCACTTTGGGAGGCTGAGACGGGAGGATCGCCTGAGGCCAGGAGTTTGAAGCCTGACTGGGCAACATAGTGAGACACACACCCCTTCTCTATTAAAATGAAATTGTTATTTTTTTTCCTTTCAGTTCATCGGTAACAAAATAAAAAAATAATTAAAAATTAACTTTTAAAAAAATTTAAAGTAAAGTAGGAGTGGAAGCAGTATGTGGAATTATGGGGCTTGGGTCTGAATCCTATGTAGATCGGCACCGTGAAATGGGGATAATAATGATCTCCCAGGGCTGTTGAAATAGGAAAATGGAAGAGCAGCAGCTGATGTATTAATATTGTCACAATTATTATTACCCATTACCTGACAAGTCATAATTGTGACATAAAGAGGAGGCTGGACCAGTTGTCTCAACAATCTTTTCCGTCTAGAATTCGGCGTCAAGGTCTGAGACAAACACTTCAGCTCAGATCAGCTTTCTCTCAACAGCGGTCACCGAGGAGCCCCCAAACCCCAAACCCCAAACCCCTAAGTCCCTGGGCGCCAAGAATGTTGTGGGTCCTGCGCATGCGCAAGGGTGCTGGCTAGCTCGCCCCCGACTTAGCGAATAGCCTGTTCCATTCCCGAGGGTTGCCGACATGGGGGGAGGCGGGAGACTTGGAAGCCTGGGTCTGGAAGTGCAGGTGCGTCACTAGTTTTTCCAGCCTTTCACTTCATGAATAGTAATTTGTTATTATTATACTTATACCTTGATGATTGCGACAGGCTGCTGAAAAGTGTGCGTTTGGTGAACAATTTACCGTGTATCCTACCCCTTCACCTGCGCACGTTAGTGAGGGCCGGCGTGACGGCCAGGTACGGAAGCCCAGAGGGTTCCGCCCACCGCCACGGGGCCCGCCCCTCCGCCTCTCAACCCGCAGGTTGCCCAGCCCGCCGCGCCGCCGGGCTCCTCCTCCTCCTTTCCGCCCCGCCGGCCGCGGGCGCGGGGGACGTCAGCGCTGCCAGCGTGGAAACAGCGGCGGGGCGCGGGAGGAGGAAGTAGCGCCCCGGACCGCCGGGCCACCATCGGCCGCCTCAGCCATGGACGCGTCCCTGGAGAAGGTCCGTACCGAGAGGGGGCGATGGGGACGGCACTGCGGCCCCCGGGCCCCCGCCTCTGAGGCGACTGTTTCCCAGTCTGGAGCTGCCATTGTGACCTGGGCAGGGGGACGCGGGCTAACGGGCCCCGCCCGAGGAGGCCTGGCTGCGAGGGCGACTGGGGCTCGGGCGCTTCGCGGGGCAGGTGTTTGTCGAGTCCCCGTGGGCCGAAGAGGCTGGCCGGGTTCCCTGGGGGCCGCGAGGGGCCGGGAGCCGAGGTCTGGGATCGTAGGGCCGACCTTGGGCCCTTTCAGGGTTCTGCGAGGGGCCGGCCTGAGCGCTGTTGGCCGTTTCGGAGGACGCGGAGCGGCCCCAGGTGCTCCTGGAAAGAAGCCGCAGTTTTTTCGGAGCCAACTGCAAACCTGTAGGTTTTCCTTGGTCTCCGAGTTAGGAATGAAAATTGCTAAATTAGTGTTTTTCCAACTTCAGCCTGCGTGGGAATCACCTGGGGCCTTTTGTAAAATGTGGATGTTCAGTCCCGGGGTTAGAACCTCTGGGGAGGAGACCGGGATCTGCGTGTTTAACCGCCACCGCCCCCACCGCTCTGCCCCACGCAGGTGATTCCGATGTTGAGCGTACGAACACCTGGCGAGAAACTCTGAGGTCCAGAAAGGGGTGGGTAAATTGCAAATTGAGTTTCGGGTATCGCAGCTGCTCCACAACTTCTTGGCTCCCCCTTTTCCAGTGGCGAGGAGGGATCCCCATGTTGACCCGAAATCCACTGGTAACAGCGCCTTCCTTTGGTTTCTCCTTGGGGGAACAGCAATGTGATGTACCTGTGTGACTGCTCTACCATGGGAAACGGCTTCTGCTTGTCCCGGCTGTAGGGCTTGTAAATGGGAATCGGTGCGTGGGTTTCTTCACGGATTGTTACTTTCGGTACCCGACGTTCTGCCCTCTCTCAAAGCCCTTCTTTTCCACCTTGGGAGTCTGCTTGTCCAGTCGAATGCAAACTTGGTTTTTCACGCACGTGGCATTCTGGAGCAATGCTAGTGTTTGAAGACTGCTACATTTTTATTTTGAGCTGGTAGGAATAATACATTTTGTCTTTTTTCAAGGCAACAGCTGCTGTAGATTTGTTCACTTGTCACTGGAGAGTTGAAGGCAATGATGTAAAAGTTGGGCCAGATGTCTTCAAGTTCTCATTGGTATAGCCTACTACTCGGTTGCTTAGCGTAAATTGGGGTGGACAGCAAGAAAAATAGGGTTTTCTTGTGCCATCTCTGGGGTGAATGTTTTGTTTTTTTGGCTGGAAATAAAGTCTTGTCCAGATGAGTGGTTCTTAAAGCAGGGGGCAGTTTGTTTCCCCAGGGACATTTGGCTATCGTTGGACATATTTTTGATTGTCACAATGGGGGCAGGAAGGTGGTGCTGGTAACCTAGTAGGTAGAGGCCACGGATGCCTCTAAACACCTTACATTGCACAGGACACCTCCCCACGCTGGACAATTCTCTGGCCCACAACGTCAGCAGTGTTGAGGCTGAGAAATCCTGGTGTACATCATGTTTACAACACCAGCAGTTGAATACAAAATGATGCAGAGTGTTTTCATACGAAGATGGACGGGCTTCATGTGGTTGTGATTGGAATCCTAAAGCACTTAGGGTGATCTTTCCTCCAGGAATAGTTAGCCTTTATAGGAAAATCTGCAGAGTGGGTCAGAATCCTGCTTTATGACTTTTCTGGCATTTGATCAGTAGATTAAGGTGGTTGCTGTATTAATTGATGTTAAAAGATCTTAAACTCTGTCAGTGAAGATCTCAAGAGGAACTGAAATACCAGTATGTCTAATACTGGCATCTTCACAAAAATTGCAGTGCAAAAATTGCAGTGATCTTTTAGGAATTCAGAACATGTGGGCCAGAAGTTTCTGCCTTAGGTCAGTGTGAAAATTCTGAATGTAGGTTTTTCACAACTAGGGGACTTAAACGTGTATATTCCATGAAGTAATAGAGGGCCTTAGGTGGAATGAACAATTTCTGTTGGCGCTAAGTGGGCAGGAAGGAAAAAGCAATGCTATGAGTGTTGATGACTTTGTGTGCTGAAAAATAGTTTGAATCAAAGGGAAACATTCAGTTGTGTTAATTATTCCTGTTTCTTTGAGGAATAGAGTATGCTGCGTTAAATTCTACATTGTTAATTTCAGTTTTCAGGAGCTATTTGAGCAGTTCGGAATGATCCCATTTAAACTGATCCTTGCATAATTTATACTGATTACAGAAACCACATTGTTATTTGATACCCTCTAAAATTTCAAATAATATCTCTCACTTTAAAATGCAGTATGTGAAAAAAACACAAAAATTAAACAAAATGTAGTATGCCATCATCATTTAGTAGAATCTCTCAGTACCTTTCCTTTGGTCCAGATATAATTCTGTCCCTTGCTTTTTCTGTAGGTGATAGATAAATGTGCAGATCTGTGATCACAGAGCCATTTTCTTGTCAGGATTTGCTTTTCTTTCACAACAGTATCAGTTTTCTTACATCTGAGATTACTGATATCCCAATAAATCAGATAGGTTGATTGAGGAGGCAGAGAATTCAAACTGGGAGAGGAGTAGGGGCTTTGCCCCAGCCCCACACTGTATGTCCAAGGCATAAGGAACAAGGCCTTGTAGCAGAGTCTTACAGTGTTTGCTTATGTTAATATTCGAGGAAGGAAAATGCCCCTGGAAGTAATCACTATAATGCTGAAGATCTTAATAAGTTATTAAACACACCTCTCAGTAAAAACCTGTTAAATTACTATTTTTGAGACAGGATCTCAATCTGTCACCCAGGCTGGAGAGCCGTGGTGCAGTCTCGGCTCACTGTAACCTCCGTCTCCAGGGCTCAGGTGATTCTAGAGTCTCAGCCTCCTGAGTGCTGGGACTATAGGCACTCACCCCCACACCCAGCTAATTAATTTTTTTTTTTTTTTCCTGTAGTGACAAGGTCTCACTGTATTGCCCAGGCTGGTCCCAAACTCCTGATTCAAGCCATCCTCTTGCATTAGCACCCAAAGTGCTGGGACTAAAAACCTGAGCCACCATGCCAGGCCAAAACCTACTTGAAACCTGTAGAATAGCCCAGACATTTTTCTGTTGGTTAAAAAGTCTCATTCTCCCTAAGTATTATGTTTAGACAAGGTGGACTGCATTTGCTTTGCATTTACTTTAATTCCATCCTTGTGCAGACTTGGAGCAGTTTGTCAGCATCAGCACTACTGATATTTTGGGTCAGATAATTCTCTGTTGTGAGGGCTGACCTGTGTATGGCAGGATGCTTTGCAGTGTTCCTGACCTCCACTCAGTAGATGATAGTCGCACCCCCTACCCCCAGTTGTGACAATAACAAATGTCTCCAGATGGAGGCAATTGTCCCCCGAAGGGTGGGGGGAATTGCCTCTGATTGAGAGTCCCTGACTTAAGGAATCTAGAACTCCAGTGTTCAGTCTGGCTGTATTTGGCAGTTTACATTTAGATTAAAATTAAACACAATTTAAAATTCTTTCCTCAGTCATGCTAGCCACATTGCAAGTGCTCAGCAGCCACATATGGCTGATGTTTGCCACACTGGGCAGCACAGACATAGAACATTTCCATTGCCAAAGAAGTTTCCACCAGACAGTGCTAAGAACTGGCAGCAGTTTTTTGTGAGGGGAGGGGTTGGGGGAGATGGAGTCTCGTTCTGTTGCCCAGGCTGGAGCTCCTGGGTTCAAGTAATTCTCCTGCTTTAGCCTCCCAAGTTGCTGGGATTACAGCTGCCCACCACCATGCCTGGCTAACTTTTATGTTTTTAGTGGAGATGGGATTTCACCATTTTGGCCAGGCTGGTCTCCAACTCCTGACCTCAAGTGATCTACTCCTCCGTGGCCTCCCAAAGTGCTGGGATTATGGTATGAGCCACCATGCCCAGTCAATTACTTGTTATATCTAATCCTTATCTCTGAAAGAGACAACTTTGACCCTGTTTCTGACCTAAATCACAACTCAGCCTATTTTTGGTTCTTGTACTCATCCTGAGCTAAGTTCTCCTTTCCTGCTCTTTGGGCCTGATTTTAGAAAATTCTTTGTCACCTTATTGTTATGCTAGAGGTTTATAGTACCATCAATGGAACATTCCTGATCCTTACTTACTGATAAGGACTCCCAGAATTTCGAGGTCTGCTCCTTCATTTAAAAGCATGAGAAAAGAACTCCTGTTAGGCAAGGTTGAATGACCAGTTTTGGTTTATGGCTTTGTAGATCTTTGTAGATTTATATAGAAAGGAGAAGATGATAGGCTGTAATTGTAGCTTTCATATAAAGCCAATTCCAACATTATCATAATGTGAGGGTTTTGCATACAGGTGCATGGCAGCTGTGGCTGTAAATGATTATCTAATACTACTGGGTGTCAGGGAAAACTGATGGGACTCAGCCATAGTACAAAGTTTCTGATCCTAGAAATTTATGGCTTTGGTCATACTTGATTTATTCAAGGTTGCAGGGGTAGTCAGTGGCAGAGCTATTGATGGTTCCTATTTCTGTCTTTGCTCCACTATATCTAGGATTATGAGTTATAAGAAGTTGCTTGAGCTTAATGTCATCTGTTTTCACCTAAAGCAGAGCCTGATTTATAATTTTTTTTTTTTTTTTTTTGAGATGGAATCTTGCTCTGTTGCCCAGGCTGGAATGCTGTTACATGATCTCAGCACACTGCAGCCTCTGGCTCCTGGGTTCAAGCAGTTCTCCTGCCTTAGCCTCTTGAGCAGCTGGGATTATTTTTGTACCATTCCCAATTTTTGTATTTTTAATAGAAATGGGGTCTCACTATGTTTGCCAGGCTGGTCTCAAACTCCTAATCTCAAGTGATCTGCCTGCATCGGCCTCCCAAAGTGCTGAGATTACAGGTGTGAGCCACCACACCCAACCTTGATTTATAATTTTTATGAATTGAAGGTCAGCCTCAATTCATAAAAGGTCATCTGTGGTCAAAG